ATATATATATATATACACAAATGTGTAACAGGAGCCTAAGAGAAGGGATCACACAAACAAACAAATACCAGGGCAAAGGCTCATGGGAAAGATTGGAGAGACAAAAATCATCTTAGCATCCCAAGATGGCAGGAAAACTAGAGTCAGACAGGCAGCAGGGAAAAAAAATGCAACGTACCCCTTTCAGTACTCAGAAAAAAAGTAGAATTGCTCATTTTTGGTACAAAACACTAAAACTTGACAATAACATGCACCTTTACATCTGTGTCTTATAAGTCAGGCCATCTGAGCTGCTGTTACACACTAGAAAGAGGTCAGTTTCTGTACAACTTGTTTTCCAAGCAGATGCTTCCGACAAACTGCCTGATGAGATACACTTTTTCTATACAAGATTTTCATTCATCTACACACAGTCCTGCTCAAACATAAACATTAATGTGATAACAGTATGAGGCTTTGAGTTTTTCTCTGGGGGTGACAAATTAAGCAGTAATGTTTATTTAAAAGTCAGACAAAAAAACAATGAAATCAGCCCAAGGTCAAACCTGCACACAAGCTCAAAAATGTGAATGTACTCACTAAGATTATCTACATGAATGCCTATGTTTGCACACACAAAATCACATTTTGAAAAAAAAACTCAACAGCCACAGGCTTTTTTCTAAACATGTATGCTGTATAATTAAATTCTACAAATCAAGCAAAACATATTGAAAAACATTTGAAAGCCTAATATTGCCAGTTCATTCTTCATCAACATTAAGAAGCTTTGAGGCAACTTAGGTGGGCACAACAGAAGAACGCAGGATAAAATATGTAAAAGGTGAAATCTTTTTAACGGTTACTTTACCATTTTTAATGTAAAATATGGACTAGTACAGTAATCACATAAAATGACAGTATGTGTATGCTACTTAACAGCCTTAAATAATAAAATGGACTCCACCAACACAACCTTTATGCTGCTTTAAAAGCTGCTTTTCATTTATTGAGAAGTCTTGTGCTGCTTCATATTACCTAAATTCAGTGACTGGTTGCATGTCTCCAAACACTGTAGTAGTAATTTATCCTACACTGAAGTAAACTGTGGCATTTTAGGGGGAAAACTGATTTGTTTTCCTGCTGAGAATTAGACAGAAACATGATGTGGTTGTTAAATTAGTAAACTGAAAATGAAGCTGTAGACGGCAGGAGGTGAGACCAGGGTTTTAAATCAATTGCAACAGTTTGTCTGGCTCTACCTAAATGGAAAAACAGTTCAACATTTTAAGAAACTGAATTCTTACAGGGGTTATTCTCTGCAAAGTGTCTTAATCTAGACAAGTGACATTTTAGTTGTGTATTCACTGCAAGAGTTGATTAACCAGCAAAAAATGCAGGAAGTCTTACTATCATCAAAAAAGGCATGTTCTACCAATAGACTTCTTGTTAATAATTACTGCTTCAGTAACGCTTTAAAAATAACATTTTCGAAGCACACTGCTTTCTTTTAAATACCATTCAGTATTGTCAAGTTACACCCATTCCCCAACAGGAAGTGATCCCCACCACTTGATGTGAATTTTTGCAGATGCACACGGATGGTGAGCAGTTCTAAGGAAAAGAAACCAACTGTTCTTAACTGAAAGTGATGGACACTTAAATACAACAGCGCCACGGCAGCTGAACAACCAAAGACTGTCACTGGCAGCCATTCCCTTTCAATTGTACACACATGCACACACAAATACAGTTGGTGGCTCAGATAAATTCAAGACAATGACAAGCGCTAGCCACTGAATCAGAATACTAATGGAAAAAAAAAGAATAGACTTAAGACACGCAGCACCAAAGAGCCAGTACTGTCTAAGAAATATCTGGTACTATAGGCTACTCTGCTTGTCTGACTGACTGACACTCGCTCTGATTCCTCAGGCAGACAGCAAACTGACATCAACATGGTTTCTCTGTTGTGTCTCATGGTGAGTCTGTCTACTGTGGACGGGAACGGCAGCGCCTCAGTACTGGCTGGGAACAAGCCTTTATCAAGCATCTTGTACTGACTTGTACTGTCGCTTCAATGAAGCCTTCCGGTCCTCTGCCTGGAAGGCACAAATCCTAGATGCAAAAAATGCAGGTCTCTGTGTGTGTGTGTGTGTGTCTCTGCTTAAACAAACAAACAAAAAAACTCTTGCACCCACAAATGAACAAAAGACACCGACGTTTCTCTGGGGTATTTCAGTGCCGCTGTCGCGCGATGGTGGTCAACAATGTCCTATTAAAGCACTTATTAGGAGTGGTTACGCTTGTATTTGCTGCACTTCGTGCCTTACTAGGAAACACTAATTTGAATTTGGATACTCCTTTCTACTGTCCACAGTATCCGATGGAAAAAATATATCTTGTTTAGTGCAGTGACAAAGGAGCAAAACTAGAAAACGGATAAGGTATTCAAGGTAGGAGAAAAGGGGAGATTGGGGAGTTTTGTTTTTTTAGTACTGCCAACTTAACCACAAAACAAAGAAAATAATATTACAAGATAGTAAGACTTTAATGTAGTTTTGGCTGTGATCGATGACGTTGCATCTATGGAAGAGCAATTGAATGAATGACTGATCAATTGTTTTACCCATTTGCAAAGAAATAGCAATAGATTTGCGTGAAGTGTAATGATCTATTTGCTGATTTGAAGTGTCTTCAAGCAAAGTAAAAGAAAAAAATCTGTCTTCATATAAAGATTGGCCCCACACACTATGTTCTGTTTGCTTTAAAAAAGTCAGTATAGATCCAAAAGTAGGGCAGGTATTGTGTCGGATCACTTGATATTGTCGGTCCCATTTATACGGCCAAACGCCTACAGCAGCGAAAAAAAGCTAGGCAGCAGTTTAATTCTGCACGGTGACATTCCTGTCCAAACAAAACTCTTTGTGAGTGAACACAAACAAAGAAAAGTTTGCTTGTCAGTAGAAAGTAAGGATCTTTTTTTCTCATGTAGAGTAGCGAAGGGATCAACAAAAAGAAATGGTGCAGGGGAGAACAAAAAAAAAAACATTTCAATCAAACAAGAGTTCTTTCTGTGAAGAGCTGCCAGCCAGAAGAAATGGGGCTCATATGCGTCACAGGTTCAATCCCACCTTACAGGTGACAGGCCTGCCTGATGCTACACCCTTGGCTCCCTGTTCACCTTACCTAATAACACACATGCAAACACACGCGCGCACTCGTGCAGGGAGACACACACACAGACGCCCAAACAAGAGCTAGTTAAAGTCAAAAACAGAGGAGAAAGCAGGGGAGGCAAGGAGAAAGTGGGGCGTTAGTGAAAGAAAAGGTAACGTAATAGGGTGAAAGTATAAAGTGAGGTAATGCAGCAAGCATATAACCAATTTAGGAACACAAGTGGGGAGCTTAAAGGGGGGAAACAGACAGGAGAAGAGGTGTGTTAAGACCCAACGCTGCTCAAAGGATCCTCCACCCTCGCTCCTTTCCTCTCCCCAAATGTTGACAGTACAAGTGCAAAACAGGCTTTGAAGTGTGCTCTGCTGAAGGGGTGCTGTGTACTGCGCGTCGTGCTTCGTTTAACAGTGTTACCCATAAAGCATCCCGGGACCTGCTCCCTCTCTCCCTGGCTCACTGTCTTTCATTCTCTTTTTCCCCTCTCCCACTGAGCCTTGTGACAGTGTTTTGATGATGCCAATGTGGGCAGACAGACAAGGTGGGTGACGGTGAGGATAGGGAGGAAAAAAAGGCAGGTAGGTGAGTAAATAAACAAATTCAAAAAAGTAAAAGAAGTGTCATTTTAATGACACTGTTATTCACCATTGTTATTTTTTTTATTATTTATTTATTTTTTGCGAGGAGGGCAAAAATCTCAGTAGTTTTCATCTTATGTGACACCTAATGGAGCATGAGGGTTATTAAATGTTTGCAGAGGAACACTAATGTGTACGCTTCAAAACATCTGCAGATTGGAGGAGTCAGCACTCGGATCTATTGTGTTGAAAGAGACGCCATACTACGGTGACATAAAGCGGGGGAGGGGGACTGCAACAATGAGAGAAAGTTTTGCCTATTAGCTGCAGTGACAAGACACAAACTGAATAGTGACTAATTGTCTCTTTTTGAGTAAAATGTTTAAAACGGTCTCAAAATTGGCAAAGCGAAGAGGAGAGACACTTCTGCTGGATGTGACTGATGCTATCTGGCAATGATTCAAGCCTTAACTACGCTGCCTCTGCTTCCTGCGCGTCCACGGAGGTTTCACCGCTAACATAAATGTTGCCTAAAAATATTAACTCAACTCCCTGCTGCTCATTAGGCCCTAAATTGGAATTCATGCTTATTTTTGTATTGGGGATTTCATCCAGCTCCTTTACAGCTATCATAAAGGGCCACTTGGCATGCTAATTGCATTGGCCCTACTTATGCTCTCCCCAGCTCACATTCCTAATGGTGTCATAAAACATGCTAGTGCGGCGGCACGTCCCAAACGCCAGGTAGGGAATACTTTGCATCAGTTTGGCCTTGTTTAGGTAGAAACTAAGGATTCTCTGATAAGGACCATAAAGATGGCTAACACTGTGAAAGATCAAAAACAGATACATGAAACCATTAACCATGGAGGGAGAGTTATGGTTATCTGTCACACAAACCTCACACACCATGCCAGGCTTTAAAGTAGCTGCTCATAGAATGGTTCAAGTAAATCGTTTAGGTGGTTAAAA